CCCCTGCCTAGGCAGGAAACCCTATACCGTTTCAGACAAATGGCTATGCAACATCTTTTTAAAGACTTCCAGTGTTGGGTCATTCACAATTTCTGGAGGCAAGGGACAGAGCTTGTGTAGGTAGATAGTGAGGGAAAGGTTATTCTTTCAAAATAAATATATGAATTAGATGCAATATGAGACTCATCTTTCTTAAAACGGCTGTTGGCCTCATAGCATCCTTGTGCTATTCTCCTAGCAAGTAGTACCTCTCACAAGACTATAGGGGGCTCTGATTTTTAAGGAAGTTCTGTTTGTTTGTGGAGTGTGTGGAGCCTCCTTAAAATACTGCCCTCTACAATCTCAAGAGAAGTACTACTTAGTAGGAGAATGGCACACAGTTGCCCTGAGTTTGGTAGCTTCTACAAGAAAGCTGAGCTTCACATTGCATTGCATCACATGCAAGCAGGTCAAAGCCCGGGGAGCCCTGAGGTACAGGAAATAGAGCCCTGGGTGCCTCAGGGATGGAGGAGTCACTGAGAGGCCCTTGGCAGGCAATCCTGCCCCCCTGCTTCTAAGGGCCTCTCCCACCCCTGGTGCTACACTTAACAACCCACATGCTCATTTAATAATTGAATTGGAGGGGTAATTAGGTGTGATGCTTCACTTAACTATAATGGGCAGGCTTCATTACAATTGTAAATTGAGGACTACCTGTAATAAATATTATCCACTGCAGGGCTGGGTGTAATGTTTGACCAACAGAGCTATGACAGGTTTTTTTAAGAAATTCAATAGTATATTGTTTAGTTAACTAGCTATTAAAAAGCATATACTTATTTTTATTACCTATTACATAGAAAAAATAGTGTTTCCTGCTTCTTCCTGTATGCTGCTTAAGTTAACAGAAAAAGAACTTAAAAAGACATATTGGACACTTAAAAGACATGAAACTATTGCTGCTTTGTTGTCTTTTTTGACTCACAAATAGAAAAGATAAGTAATATTGTGTTATTGAATTATGGATTTGTTTGGCCTATTTCAACTAGTTATGTAAGATGGAGCCAGGGAATAAAATATATGACACGTTGTGTGTTTTAAAATTCATCAAAAAAGAAAGTAAAAAGGCAATTGTATACAAGCAGTCTCCCTTCATTGATCCAGTAAAACTTCAGATACTGAAAATAAGAAAAAAAAACCTCTTTTTTCCCTTTATCCCATCTACACTTCCCAGTTGTTTAAGCTTTTTGAACAACATAAGTGGTATAGGAAGCTGCAGAAAGAAGAAAAAATCATTGGAAATTGTACCTCTGCTGGTTGCACTTTGATATGAGAGTGGATCAAGCTGTTCTACCATCAAAGCGATAATAACTGCAATCCATTATTTGTTCAGATTTTTTCTTGATAAGATCATTAAGTTATTAGGTAAAATTGAAAGGGTCAGTACTGCATACATACCATTCTGAACTCCAGGAGAAACAACAAAATATAAATGCAGCAGATAAAATCATGGTGATGTGGAAATTCTGTTTCTGTTACAAGGTCATGCTCATTCATCTAATTAGAGCTAATTCAGAACCTATGATTTTATATATACTTCTGTGTGGCTAAAATAGATATGAAACCAGAGTGCCCTTCAGAGGTGGGTTCCTACTGGTTTGGACTGGTTCGGCCGAATAGGTAGTAACTCGGCCTGCCATGCCCCCAAACAGGTTCTATTGTTGTCGTCACCATCTTGATTTTCGGTTCTGCGCATGCGCATAACAATCTTCATTGCAAAATTGTAATTTTTGTTTCCTATTCTAACGTGCACATGCATAGACATTTTTAGCTGCAAATGTGCACACGCACGGAGCAACATTTTTTGCACGCCAAACCGGCAGTAATGCCAGTAGCAACCCACCCCTGGTGCCCTTCTACACTGAATTCTTTCAAATATTGTATTCCATCACAGAGAGCCAAGTAGTTGTTGGAAGTATTTGTTCAATATGCATCTCAGTATCCTTTTTTAAGATTATTGTTCATCTTATTATTTTTTATGTGTATGTTATCATTTCATAAGAGTACTTTGCATAATAATATAAGCAGTTCGTGTGCATGGGGGAAAATTTTATTAAAAAATACATAAGACGAAAACAATACCTTCTCTTCTAAAAATAAGTTCCCTGGTTTGGGAATGGGCCAACTCACCATGTCCAACTCGCTGCAGTCAACTCATCATGGCGAACTCGCTTCAGGACAATTCACCATGTCCAACTCACCATGGGTCAACTTGCTGCAGAACAATTTAACAATTCTATTTAATTATTTAAAATAAATAAAAAATATTTTAATTTTTGCCATTTACATTTCATTCTGTCCCTCCTTTTGCATCCTTTTTCATGATTCTATTTCACCTTTTCTTTGTATTAGTGTAACTCTTGTCTGGCAGTGAATTGTCCTGTGGTGAGATGGCCATGGCAAGTAGACTATGGCGAGTTGGCCATGGCAAATTGTCATAGATCCCCATGGCTTTCCATCTACTTTGTAGTTTCAATGAGGATTGCTAAATATGAAAAGTATAGCATATTAAAACCAAATAAGAGCCTAGGACTCTGTTCATTTAATATGAATTGCTGTTTTTCTAGTGGATCAGGCAGACCCATTTGCTCATGTAGCTGCTCTTCACTTTGATCAAATGCTTCAGAGATTTGGCTCTCCGATCATCATTTTGAACCTTGTCAAGGTAAACATTTTTGCTTGTGTTGATTCCTAAATGTTGTCAGCTCTTGGAGAGAGACCATAAAGACCAAGATCTTGTCATTCGGAAAAATCAAGATAAATTAAATATCTTATTAAACCATTCAGAGATATTACAAAACATGTTAATGTACTTGGGATCATTTTCCTGTTTTATTTTCGGGTAAGTCTTGATGATTTTGTGAAATATTTTTGCTTTATGACTAATATTTTTAGTACATTCTAATTAGTCACTATATTAATCTCTTTGAACATTTTTAATGCTGACTATAAGCTGTATTTAATGAAGATATTATTGTTACTACCCTGTGTAGGGAGACTTGTATTTACTTTTATTTTCCAATCCATGTAGCATTTCCGTGGAAAGCTGCTACAAAAATTATTTGGCATTTCAGAGACAAGTCCTCAGAGCTGTTTCACAGTGCTATTTTTTAAATTGTAACTTGTCAGTGAGTAAAATCAATTATTCCTTTTGATAAAGAGTTTTAAATTATTTAGTGCAGTGTGTTTTATGTGATCAAGAATTTCTGTCATCTTAATGATTTCAGCTATGTCTTTGCATATGTGGAAACTGAGAACATTAATACATTTTAAAATGTAATTCCTGAATGTTTCTAAATGTGCCAGAGGATAGAATCTGTTCTTATAATAAATTTTGTTTCTTCTAAATACTTTGCAAGGAATAGATTTCTTAAGAATCTACAGTTAGCATATGTACAGTATATCACAGAGGTGAGTACACCTCTCATATTTTGTAAATATTTAAGTATATTTTTTCATGTGACAACACTGAAGAAATTACACTTGGCTACAATGTAAAGTAGTGAGTATACAGCTTGTATAACAGTGTAAATGTGCTGTCCCCTCAAAATAACGCATTAATGTCTAAACTGTTGACAACAAAAATGTGAGGGAGTATACTCACTTCTGTATATATCCTACCAGGGGTGGTTTGTGGCTGGATTTACTGCTGGTTTGCTTGTGTGCATGCTGGATGCGCACTGCGCACGCATGTGCAGTTCAATTAAAATCGTTCCGCTCTGGATTTACTGCTGGTTTGCTTGTGTGCACGCTGGATGCGCACTGCGCACGCATGTGCAGTTCAATTAAAATCGTTCCGCTCATGCACAGAACTCAAAACAAGGTGGTTCGGAGGCGTGGCAGGCTTGGGCCACTGCCAGTTCCAGCAACCAAGCCCGCCATACCACTACCTGTTCGTCCGAACCAATATGAACCCACCTCTGTATCCTACATACCAATTTCAGAAGAGTTTAGCAAATGATACATGGATGTATATCTTTCTAGGCTCTGCCTTGAGGAAAGGAGTTATCTCAGAGGAAGCATGCAGAGTTAGAGTGAAAAAACCAATGACAAAATCAGTTTTGAGATTAACCCTTATTATCCCACTCTTTGGAGATATAGATTGAGGGAAGAAACATTTTTAGTTCTTCAGTATGAATTGAGTAGAGAAAAAAAAATATTAACACCAAGCAAAGTTTTTAAAAGTTGCCATGAACTTGTTAAAATTGAACTTGATAATAAGCAATAATTTCTCATTAAGGGAAAAATCTATAGAGGTTCTCAAGTTGGAATGCTTCTTTTATTTCTTCTATGTTAGAAGAGAAAATTGAAAGTTTTCACTAG